ACCTCAGTCAGGATTGACTGAACACCCAGCTCTTCTCCTGACACACACACACACACACACACACACACACACACACACACACACACACACACACACACACACACACACACACACAAAGCAAGGAAAGCTTCCATTTACAATAGGGAGGGAGTTAACAAAAGAGCTGTGCTTTTATTCTCTATATTCTTATACAAATGTGCCATTATTATATATGTCTACAGGACTTCATAGACTCATCAGAAATGTTATTATTCTTTTTAGGCAGTTTTATATTATCAGCATTCATTTACAGGTCATCTGTTAGTGCAACGTGCAAGATATGTGTTAATTCATTTTCTGCTACATTTACTCTTCCTTGCAATGTTATTCATAAGAAACATCCATGAGCTTGTACATCTACCGTTGCTGTTGGTTTTTACAAACATATATAAGGTAATATAAGGTGTCATCCTTTCCCTGTTCAGCTACCTATTAATACAATGTAACTTAAAGGGGCGATATGTGCTTTCCAAGCCTATATTTCAATTTTATTCTAAAATAAAGTAACTATATCACATGCTCAGCTTATGAAAGAGCTATATGTAAAAATCCCCAAAACATTTTACTTCTCATCTTGACAGTTTCTAAATGCCTTGAAATTGGTCTCTGTCTCTTTAAGAAAATCCAACCACTATGTCTTTGTAAAACTAAAATTTAAAACTGAAGAAGAAGATGTATGAAAGCATCTTTCTTAAGATTTTGGGCATTTTAACATATAGTTGGAGGGCAAAGGATAGAAAAAAAATTTGAAGTAAAAAAAAAAAGGCGTCGCAGTGATCAGATTGGAAATATTATGGAATAATGTGCAATACTGTATATACATATGAGACTGGAAACTATAAGCATAAATAAACCCAGTTTTAATCCATGTAAAAGGAATTTTGAAGTACTTGTGAGAGGAGAAATAAATTCAATCCACAAAAAGATTCAGTTGAACCACAAAGAAGTTTGAGGTTTACGTTGTTTTAGATGGCCTAAGTCTGTCTCCACAGAAACTGACATTAGAAAATCTGAACTATCTCTTTAAGATAAAATATGCAGGTAAGTCTTGGCTGTTGCTTCTACATTTCCCTCTGCTGCCAGGGGTATTCTGAGGGTCTTATCATTTTAAGGTGCTTACTTTCCTCCTTCAACGATAAAAAAAACGAGAGTCCTCTGATAGGTGAATGTAAAACTGTTCTCTCTCTATAACGGTAAATACACACTTCACACATGCACCCTTTGCATGTCTATATATGCACACACACGTGCATACTTAAACATAGAACATTCAAATGGCCTCTATTAATGCAGATGGTTCCCCCAATTAACAGGATTGAAAGTGATGATGAATTTTTCATTTTCTGAACATCCAAGCTAATTATGACCCAAATGAAGCAGGTTCCAGTGAATCACCATGGCAGGGACTGCCAATGGCAGCCAATGTCACTGTCACAGTGCCACTCCACAGCACCTCCCTAATCACTACAGCTGCTTAATATTCATCTCCCACCGCTCTCATGTCGCCTCTATCCTGCTTGACTCCCCTCACCTTTCCTCTTACCTCCCTTTTTTTTTTCTTTTCACCTCCTCCTTCTCTCTCCAGTCGGTCTTGGAACGTTTCCCTCTCTCTTTTTCCCACACATCCTCCTTACGCTCCACCTTTCCCTCTCTCGTTGCCTCTCTCACTGTAGAGCTGTTGTTTAAAATGGAAATCAACTAATTGCACTAATAGCATTTTAATGATAATTTAATGTAGGAAATAAAGCTTGTTACAAGCTAAGCAATTTTGTTGGATTTCAAGGGCAATCAATCTGTGTCCGATACAATCTGCTCACCTCCTTGATGATGAGTGTGGGATGTCAACAGTGTGTTTTCACTCATGCAAGCTAATAGCATTTATGTCATCATCTATAGATGCACAAAAATCACAACACAGTAGAAGGATTTTGTCATTGTATAATTTTATCCCCCGCTTTTGAACACTGTCTCAGACATATGTTA